TTAGGAATGCGTGGATGAGCGTTCACTTTTATAAAGAATAACTCTTTGGGTTTGAGACTTTAATCTTTGCGACTTTACGGATCTTCTGTATGCACGAATAGCTTTTAAAACTCCAAAGACAAAGGAAAACATGAAATCGCATCATATGACCCTTTTAAAATATTTTTAGATGATCTATAAAAGGTTTCAGCATGGCTTATGAAACTGCACTATGCTGTATTTAGTAGACCTGATAAATTGATAAATTGGGGCTTCAGTTCTCATTATAAATCATTGATGAGATGGTTGCATTTCACCTGAACTGTATATGTGATAAATGGCTTGTAAAGGCAGTAGGGTGTGTGATATGTATAATCTACGATAAAATGCCCAATTTAAGGTGAGAAGTATTGCCCTTTAAAGTTAAAAAAGTTCAATTTGAAGTTAAAAGGTAAATTTCTGACACTGCTGTGAACTATCCAGCACACAAAATATGATAAGTTTCAGGAGTCAGCTGTCCAAGACAGGCCTAAACCAGTCAATGTACCAGCACAAAAACTCACTCAGCTAAACACTAATTATTGTCATTAACAAAATCACAGTAAATACTGACATTTTTGTCAGTATTGCTCACCTCTAAAAGGCAGTGTTTAAAAGTATACACTCTGTGTTTCAGATGTAAGGGTAGTCCGGAGTGTGAGGCCTGTCAGAGCACACTGAATATGGAGCGTGTGTGTTCCCTGAGCAGTCCCGATTCAACCCTTAGCACCAGTTCATCTGCTTCAGAACAGTCAAGCGCCTCCCCCTGCAAGAGACCCAACAGGTTTGACCTTCACACATGCACATATTTACTAGTAGTCTGAGGACTTAAGGCCTGTTCACACTATGACCAATGTCGGTGTGATATATGAATGGCTGTTCAAAAAGACACGAACATTCGCATGCCATCAATGTAATTTTTTTAAAGAGATGTTCTGGAGGTGTGATCTCTCTTCCATCACACTGAAAAGAAAACTGGTCAACCAGAAGGATTTGTGCTTTTGGTCACATGCCCAGAACTGCTGCTGTTACTTAAAACTACAACTTGGTGCTGCTCAGGAGCGGAGTATTTGCTAAGCAACAGTGAATAGCAAAGAAGCGATCCAGAAGTGGCTGTCCTCAGTGCTGTTGTATTTGGTGTTGTTTGATAAACACCAATCAAATCTGAATGGCTGATTGAAAACCTGTAAATACTATTTGACTTATTTTCTTCTCTGAGACAAGTGGATTTTAGAAATGAAATGTTGCGTAGTGCTTTGTGTACTGGCGTAACCGGGGTATTTCTGCATTTTCATTCAGCCTGTCTGCAGTTTTTTGCACATTGAATTGAACAGAAAAATTGTCAGTGAAAACTAAACTGAATTTTTGTGACAAACATTTGTGTTGGTGTGAACACACCTATAGTCTAGACTTCTACTCTGTTTATATAAAGCAATTTATAATTGCTGCTGACTAACCCAAATCTACATATATGAAAACTTTTTTTTTTTAACAAAACACAACCACATTGAGGATGTTCAGTTGAGGATGTTCTTTGAAATTAACCAGGCCAAAAATTTTAAATTTCAACAATGAAAGTGACCAAAACGTGTGTGTGTGTGTGTGTGTATAATACACAGAAGTTTAAAAAAAAAGTGTGTTCCATTCCAAGCACTCTTTTTCACAGAGTATGTTTTTGTGTGCTATATGTGTCTGAGTAAGATTTATTTGGTCTTTGTTCAGTATGTCAGATGATGAGTGTGAGAGCGGATGTGATACGGTAGATGGCTCGCCAGCATCGGTGTCCTCCAGTCGAGCTGACAGCCCCTTCCTGGAGGCCACCTATATTAATGGCAACAACCAGAACTGCAAAGCCAATGGAACTACAGAGGCTGAGTCTACCAAACTGCCCGTCCGCACCATGGTGGTGCCGCCCATGCGGGTTCAGAATAATGAGCCGATGGGTCGCACAGGTAACAAATCTCATCAACCCTATCAAAATACATCACTGACAATCCCAGTTAAAATTCATGTTATATGAAAAAAATGATATTATTTGAAGACAAAGGCAAATGTGAAAAAGCCTGACTGAAAAAGTCAAGTTCAAATGTCCACAAGGGATACAAACTGCTCTAGTTTGAAACAGCATGTTTCCATAGCGCACTCACAATGGAAGTGACAAAATGAGACATTTACCAATTTTAAGCACCTTGATAATGTGTAGGGGATGTCACACTTGACTGATATTGCTGAAATCTCACCACTCCTCCAGAAGTCCTCCATAAATCCACCAGAATCAGCGAGGCTTGTCAAAATAAGAACAGAGGCAGTACACACACATAAAGAATCATCATGGACAGCAGTCGACATTTGCAATGAAACGTTTGGACCAGAGCACATTTGTTGGTTCACAATGTTTGTCAGTTCTTTGTGAACTGGAGATGGAGCATGATTTGTGTTAATGCATTGCAAAAATAATCAAATTTATTTAATTGAACATTGAAAACAGCTTTGATATTAAGCAAACCGGTTATAGAAAAGCTGTTCTGAAACATCTTCCCTTAAAAAGCAATTGGTCTCAAGTTTTTATTTATTTTATTTTTTTTTGAATCCCTGTGTTTGGGAAATACTGATGTATATTTTCAGGATTGAGAATTTGCATGTTCAAAGCTGAAATTGCACCTTGCATCTTATTTAAAGGTCAGGTCATGCTATTATAATCTTAAACTTTAAATGTATTTAAATATGAATTAGTTTAATTTCAAATTCAACTTCTATTTTCAAATGACAGGTTTACTCCAAGCTAATGCACTAATATAGCACAATTTCATGAGGCTTCCAAGGAGTGTTTCCTAAGTTTGCCTGCTCTTTCCTCCACTGTACTTATAGAGCCATCATGCCCACCCAAAGGCCGCAGTAGTTACAACAGACAGCCGCCCTACTCAACGTTATTGGTGAATCGCCAACAGAAGACAGCACAGGCTTTCCCGCCCCTGCAGCCCTCTCAACAGCAGCTCCCCTTTGGACAGGTCAGTTCCATGTTGTTGGATAGTCAGCTAGATATTAAGATACTACTAATACAACATACTAATGCAAATAATAGGTATATTAAAAAGTAAATAAATAAAAAGAAGCGGAGATGTGTGAATCAACTCAGCGTTAAAAAATTCTTGATGCATTTTCACAGTGAGCATGAATTTTGCCACATATTTTACCACAACATTTAAGTAGAAGCAATGTAAACAATGTGAAAAGAAAAACAATTAAATGACATATAAAATCATTTAATAAAATGATTAAACGTAATCTTTAGCAAATCTCAAAATGAATACCCTTTTTTTAAATTGTACATTTTAAAAATAATTTTAGTTTTATTTTTACATTTATTTAGACAAATGTGACCCTGGACCACAAAACCAGTCTTAAGTCGCTTGGGTATATTTTTAGCAATAGCCAAAAAAAAACATTGTATGGGTCAAAATTATCGATTTTTCTTTTATGCCAAAAATCATTAGGATATTAAGTAAAGATCATGTTCCATGAAGATATTTTGTAAATTTCCTACCGTAAATATATCAAAACTTAATTTTTTATTAGCAATATGCAATGCTAAGAACTTCATTTGGACAATGTTAAAGGCGATTTTCTTGTAAGTTGTATCTTGGCCAAATATTGTCCTATCCTAACAAACCATACATCAATGGAAAGCTTATTTATTCAGCTTTCAGATGTAGAAATCTCAATTTCAAAAAATTTACCCTTATGACTGGTTTTGTGGTCCAGGGTCACAAATT